GAATCCTATAATTTATAAACAACGTGGTGAAACTGAATAAAATAAACGTTACATATTTTTAAATATAAAAAAAATATTCTGTTCACCATCTAATAGTTTTATACTCTTCATTCTGTATTAAGAGATGTTTTCTTTTCAAAGTGGTCATATGACCGATAGGTTTAGTAGGTGTTATTTACGTGTACCTGGTTGTTGGTATCTGTACCGATTGGTTCTTTCTCTTTCGATTCACAGGTGAGCTACGTGAACGGAAACTTGGTGAGACGGCGGATAACCGCCACCGACAGCAACACCTACATGGCAACGTTCGCTTCGGAGATCGCCCTGATCGAGGCCGACAAGGAAGCGGACAAAAAGTACCGAGAGCTGATTCTCGAGGCGGAGAACATTCTGGTGAATATGCAAAAGAACCAAGCCAGCAGCCTGTCCGTCGTACCGTCGCCCTCGCGCAAGTTACACAACGGGCTGGCGAACAAGCGGGTCGAACTCATCAAGAACACAGAGTTGAATATCGAGCTGGCCCTCTCCAGGAGCAGAAACTCCCAGCCGGAATTGCAGAGCGGCAGCATCAAGGATCTCGAGCACACCAGTCCCAAGAGGCAACAGTTTGCTCAACCTTGTTCCCCGATGCGACGATTCGTCGAGCGAAACAACGCTTCCTCGCCGGTAGCCGGCGCAGCAGCCACGTTCCAATCGGCTGGTTCGATCAAGTGCTCGGTCGACTCTCCTCTCGTCTCGAGAAGGACGACAGCGATGGCGGCGGTGACGAACAATCAACAACATTCGCCGGACAGAAGCTTCCTTCTTCGTGCTCGGTCGAGAGCTTGCGAGACTCAAGATGCCGACGATTACGACGGACGGCGAATAACCACGCTGGCAACGTCGACCACCGCGTCGGTGAACGCGCCATCGGCAGTGGCGATGTTCAACTGCAACGGTGGTGTCATCCTCGGTTCGAGCGCGAACCGATGCCAAACCTCGGCCACCTCGTCGCGCAGAGATCATCCTCTCCCCGGGGTAAATCGGAAAGAATTTCGCGGCGCGAGATCATCGTGCAACGCTGTGACCAAGGAGGAGACGGTGACGTCGAGTTCCTCGGACTCGGAGGAAAGGACGTTGGACGTTGGAAGACGTGCGCCACTAATGACTTTCAGGTTAGCGTGACGACGACGACGACGATGATGATGATAATAATTCCGTGCTCGGCATAGCCGCGCGTTCGCCAATTTCTTTCTAGCTTTCTTTCTTGTGTTTGCAGGTCGGTCGACATGGGCCCCATAAAAGAAGGG